TATCAGACAACTTACCCCCAGTTTTTATGTAGAGCTTATTTGGAAAAGCTCTCTTCAGTTCGTTCATTTATAATTCCATATTCAACATTTTTGCAAGTGATGTTAGATTTTTGTTTTCAGTGCTTCCTCAGATGTGTGTTTGTGCAGTTTTTATGGCAGATTGTCTCTGGTTTGTTTTCGGGAAAATGCAGTCACTCTCTTGTCATGTGTTTGAGAGTATGTTTCTATGGTAACAGAGAACATGGTGAGGGGATTGGATGAGGATGAGAGCAGTTTCTTGGACGAGGTCTCCCGGCAACAGTGTCTGGTGGAGAAACAACGCAGGGACGAGGAGAAAAAGGAGCTGTTGGAATACAGAATATCCTTCATATTCAAACAGGGCACTTGCACGGTTGAGATTGGAGTCGTAGAAGCCAGCATGCAAACATAAAACCAGAATGAGAGTTGCATTTAAGTTTGCGTTATATTAAAATCAATAGCAATTCGAACTCTCATTCAAATACAAACTGCCTCCACAGCAAGATTTCTACTTCTGAGGTTGAGTTTTACATTCATATTCTTACTTGTTTGAGTAAAGTTTTCCAGTCTGCTCTCTGGTGTCTCCCTTTAGTTTTTAATCCCCCACTTTTCCACGCTAGGATCCCATAAGGAGGTTTTTTTTTTCCACCTTAACTGTGTAGCTTCACAGCGCTCTAGTGAAGCAAGCATCTGCAGAGAGCCGCAAAGAGCCTGAAAAGAAGGTGGCACCTAAAGGGGTGGAGCACAGGACCAGCCACCTGTCACAGGCCCATTTATTAGTTGGAGCTGTAAAGAGACGCAAGTATGCACATGAACATGCACCATCCTTAAAACATGTTCTTGTTGTTCTCACCTGTTCTCAGCTGCATTTGAATAAAACACCAAATCCACTGTTTTACTTTTAAGCTGAAATTTTAAAACTTGCTCTTTTTTTTCCATTTTAAATCGTGCTTTTTATTTGTTTCTGTTTTTTAATGTCTCTGTAAAGCACTTTGAATCACCTTGCTGTTGAATTGTGCTATATAAATAAACTTGCCTTGCCTTGTTTTTTAGCTGCCATTAGCCTCTGCCCTCCACCTGCCAAAATCCAAATTTGACTCTACTTTAATATTACTTTGTAGCCAGAGGCTCTTGGGTCTCAAAGTGGAGATTCTTTATAAACATGCTGACTTAATGCTATCTTTGCTCAGGACACACTATTGAAAATGACTTCCGCTTTCTCGTTAAATAAAGGAAAATTAGTTTTTTAAATACTCCAGTGTTTTCACCATCTAGGCCCTAACTTTGTCTCCTTTTCTTTATTGTCTGGCTCAGAACTTGCTTTTGTTTAAAGTACAGAGCTCAAAGAGACTAACAGTTTCAGCAGCACCGACAGAGTTTGTTGATAATTGCCACACTCAGGAATTTCACAAAATTGCTGATATAAAATATTGATTGGATCAGCTTTAAGTCTTGTTTTTCTAATCTCTTTGTTCTCTCTCCAAGTTCCTCACAATCAGACAGCAGTAAGAAACAGAAAGTGGAAATCACGGCAACAACAGCAACGACAGGAAATGGAGAAAAACACACAGGTGGGCAGCAGCCAGAAAAACACATTATTATGCAGCTCATAGAATATACAGTGGATTTGTTCCTTGTGAGCCTGTTAAAAAGTGGAAATGGATGCAGATTCAGTGGACCACTCTTACTCTCTTTCCTACAGTTCAAATCACTGTGACTGTTGTATGTTGGCACAAGGTCTTACACTTAAGTTATGCTTTCCAGAAGAGGGGGGCGGAGCAGGAGCCAAAGATCAACAGACAGTCCCCGGCGTCACTGCAAAGCCGCCCTCAGCCGCCTTGAGCTCCGGCCAAGGCGTACTACACTTGCCGTCAGCGGCCGTGTGTGTCGGTGTTTTACCAGGACTCTGCGTTTATTCCGGCAGCAGCGACTCTGACAGCAGCTCGGACAGCGAAGGTAGCGTGGACGCAATTATGTCGCCGTACCCACGGCACAACAGGGCCTACAGATAGACACACAGCAGCATCCACACACAAACTGACGCATGTTGGCAGCAATTAGAAAAGGTGACCTCATATAACACATGCACACACAAACTGATTAAAGTCATTTATAGAGGCGTATCTGCAGGTAACAGGAGTTATTGTCAAGTAAGTCGTACACCTGCAACACACAGCAAGCAAACATTTTATGAATTCCTGTTGTTTTCACAGCTGTGAGTTTAACTGTTGCTCTTCGTCATCAAAGTTCAGCCCAGTGATGCAACCCTAATAAACCAACTTTAAACTCTATTATGAGCTAAATCTGTGTATCTATTTGTGTTGTTTTGCAATTGTGGCACCCAAACATGACGCCTTCACCCTTCCTTCCCTCAATTGCATGTCACGCAGTTTAAGCCGAGCAACCAATCCCGCACTGCCTACCCTGATGACATCCTGCCCCCCCTACACTCCCTTCCCAACCCAAGCCACAACGGCTGCAAGCTGTGCTATTGGCTGAGGGAACAGTGATTGACAGCTGTGGAGCAAGGAAGAGACTGCTTTAGACTGTCACATGACTCACACCTTTTAGCTATCTGCAGCAGAGGAGTGAGAGCAGGACTGCGTTTGGGTTGAATGCTGAGTCTGTTTGGATTGAAAAATTCTGTTTTTATTTGTGTGAAGTAATGTATGTTTGTTTAAAAGTTGCGTTATTCTGGGAAGATGCTGGACTGTTTATTGCTGTCTCAGACTTTGGGGCGCCTGAGAAGAAATAAATAAAGAGATTTCCCTGTGTTGTGCCGTGTTTTACTTTGGAGTTTCTGAGAGTACAACAGAAAGATTATATATACAGGAAGTTTTAAAATGGCTCAAGTTTAGGAAGTGGGCATGATTATTCCTTTTAATTTGGTGCCTCTAAAGAGTGTTGTAAATGTCTGTTTTTCTGAGAGGTTATAGGAAAAGAGACAGGGATTAATCTAGATTTGATGTTTTGGGGGCCTCAGCCCCAGTCACAATATTATGCATACAGTGCATGATATTAATATTAATGGTAATCAACTCTCTTCACATTTAAAACAGTTGGGTGCACATTACAATGTTAACTTCCAAACCAGCTTAACTAGTGGAATGAGCTGTTGCAGTGACTAAGGATAATTCAGAATAAATAATGAATATAACACCAGTTTAAGGGTGGACACTAGTTATCAAATATGAATCAAAGGGTCGATAATGTTGACCAGAATTTTCCAAAGTTAAAGTAAGAATTTTGTGAGGAGAAAGGAGAAACATGCTTTACATGGTTTCAGTCTGTTATGAATGGGATGTCACCAAAGTTCATATGCACGTGAAGGCAGACAAACTAATACTTTTGGCAATACAGTGCATGAAAGAGGTGGTCTAAAATAACATGCATATTTAACAATTGATTACACTTTGACAGGCAGGGAATAATCTAATGTAACTATGAGGCTCTAGCTTTTTCAATAAAGTGTTTTCTATTTTTATTCTGTATTGTAGATGATTACCATATCTGTGTCACCAAACGTAGCTTTGTTTCTTACATTTTAAGCCAGCAACATGTGACAACCTCTGCATGTAGAAGGCAGAGATATGTCTCTATGATGCCCTGCAATAACTAAGCTCTTTGGCAAACGCTCTCTTGCTGCCAAAAAAATAACACATTGTCTCAGTTTGGTACTCGGGATTGTGGCCCTGGGTATGACCTGTGGACATGATTTATGATTCATCAATGAAAACCAAAATAAAAGAGGGTTGTATAATTGTGTAATTAATGGTTGTGTAATTCTGTTTGTGACAGAAGGTGTTGACAAACTTTTTGTGACCAAATCCATCTGTAATTATATTGCTTTTATGAGGCTATTTGCACTGCCAGAGTGCACCTACTAAAAATATACCAGTTGAACAATTTCTCTCCAGTGTTGTGGGAAGCATTTAGTTTCAAATCCTGGGAAGAAATGCAAAGAGGCGAATCTCAGAGTTCATATTTTTCTTTTAATATATAAACTAATATCACACATGGAAAAATAGATCACGTTCTTTAGTAACGATTGGAAATGATCTACAGGAAAGACCATAAACGGAGGAGTTCGTGGTTCACTCAGCTCTCTGATTGTGATGGCGCAGCTTTGCGCACAGCCTTCGTCAGGGCACGCTGGATAACTGGGTACAGTTTATAGCATCCCTCAATGCAGGTCCTCACTCCAGCGGTTAGAGTCTCTTCAGTCATTTCTCCATCAGACTGTAGTCCAGAAATCTGGTTCAGGCTTGGGAGGAATGCGACAGTCAGACCACCCTGGTTCTCACAGCTTACCGAGTTGCAGCCGTTTTCCTCCATGTAGGAGGGGTCAACCACATAGGAGGTGCCATCCTGGCGCATGGAGCAACCGAGCACCAGATCATACATTTCGATCCCTGCATCTGCAAGCGCAAGAGAGGCGCATGTGACGGCATGGGCCAGAACTGAACCGCTGTTCTCAAGAACCATCACGTTGACCTCGATCTGAGAGCGAGGGTATTTGTGGAGACATATGGCAGGCTGCAGGCTCTCATGTAACATCAGGGAAAAATCCTTGTCCTGACTCCCCTGAATCCAGGAGCCCCTCTCCGGGCAGGAAAATGGAGCAAAGCGCATGTCGGTAGTCAATCTGGACACAGAAAAACAGTTGTGGTTGAGTCTTTTTTTTTTTTTTAAACTGTCACAGATATCAGTGTCCACTTCAAACTGAATGCTTTATTGGTATACCCACATAAGCTCAGTTTTCAAACTAACTATGGTACTAAATAATAGTTCACAGTGAGAAGTAATACAAAAACTCTTTTCAAACACAAGGAGTTGCCTCTTTGTGCACATATATGACTTATGGATATGTCAAAAAGCGTTTTATTCCCCTAGAAAAAAAATTTGCTGCATTTGGATTAAGTCAATAATGTCTCCAGCAACTGTTTTGGGCAAAAGTTAAAATTCTGTTGCATTTCAATTGTTTATGTGGTTTATTAAAGTTTAGACTAGTTTTCACGCATGTGTAGTTCAGAACAGTGGGGGAAATAAAAAAAAAAATCCAAAAGTTCTGCTATCCATGTAAGACACAGCAGGCTGTATTTTTATTATGACTTCACAGTTTAATCAGCAGAAAACTATTTCTTTGTTTGTTGTGTTGTTAGAGCAGTCAATATGCTTAAAGATTTAAACAAACAAACTCCATACCTTCCACATTTCATATCCGTCTCATCCTTCCGGTCTGTTTCTCTGGGGCCATAAACGCAGCACATCAGCTTGGTGTTTCCAGCCTCTAAGTACGCGGAGCCTTTAGCTTGGCTCACCAGGCCACAGCGGACGAAAACGGGCCGGACGTCGACCTGATCCCGTCGCCGACCGTCCGCTCTGGGCCCCTTCAAGGGCAGAACCGCCGCCGGAACGCACGAAAAGAGAGACGGGCTCTGAGACACTTCTGGACCACGAACACGTTTGGTGTCAGTCGGCATGTTGAAGTAAATGAACCAAGCAACCGGTCCCGCACGAAATCTCTCCCCCTAGAAACATAGCATGCTGGAGAAATGCTTCCGCTAATATACGCACACTGAAGGATATTACATCAGAAATGCGAAATATCGAGTACGTACGGATGCAGCAATATTGCATCATTATTACTAGTCAGTTCGTATGCCATAAGATAACAGTCACAAAAAAGTGATACATGTTATTAATCAAGGACAGAATAAAATCATTTCTTTTAAAAAATGTAAATAGATAAATAACAACATTAGTTTAAAAAGTTAGAGTACTTAAAACAAAAGCTGGCATACTTTGGGCTTGCGGATTTTTCTCACATTTCTCTACATCAACTAACATATTTAAAAACGACAACAAAAATCTGAGCTGACACCGTTTAAGTTGCATCAGCCAAAGCACAGAGGTTTGTATCGCTGCCGTGGCGGGCTCGGTTAAGAAGGACAGTAGATTTGTCCAATAGGAATCCAGAATTCTTGACTTGTCTGTGTAGCCGGACCAGTTGGAGGCTGTCGTAGGCGTGGCCGCTGCTTGTGCTTTCCTTCAGTTTCAGCAGCGTGGAAGTGAAGGAGAAGTACTTGATTCATTCTGCGGGAATAGCGGCTTCTGTGAGTATTTTCATGTGTTTAAATGTAGTTGAAATAAGTTATCTTCATTGTACTAGTCAGCAGAATAGCCTTTCTGTTAGAGCAGTGTGCCGAACTGTCTATCTCAGGCTGAGCACAGGGAGGTAGCTTGATTAACTAGCTAACATATTAGCCTGCTAACGTCAGATCAAGCTAGTGCCTCTGCCTAGAAAAGCAATTATAGTCAGCTGACTAGTTTACATTGAAGACTGTCGGTTTTTTGTAGAACTTTAAGAGGAAATATGTTGTATCACATGACTGTCACAAATTTGTGTGGTCTGGAAGTTTATGTTAGACTTGCGAGATTAAGTTCACTGATTTTGTGCCATTGAGACAGAGAACAGGGCTTTTCCTGTTACTAACCTGAAAGATGGGTCCAATATTTATCATCAACCTGGTCTCTGTCTACCTGTTCTATGATTATAAATGTCCTTATTTTGTCTTGAAAATGGACCATTATTTATTTCTCAAAACCACTGGGCTAATACTTACATCCCACGTCTCTTCTTTCTCTGCCTGCCCGCTAAATGCTTTGTTGTCAGGGCGGGTACATGGGCTATTTGTCATCCACTCCTTATTCCCAGAAAGCTGAAAACACCAGCTGAGGTTTGCTTTGGCAGTCAGTTTTCACCATTGGGAATTGAGCTCTGCTGCCTTTTAATTATATATGGTATCACATTTTTAATGAAATATGTGTACTCCAAAAATCCACAAAGTGCTTACAAATCAATTGTAAGTTGCTTTTGTTTCCATTCTTACCTAAAATTGCATCTGACTTTATATTTAAGATCGCAGCATTGTGTGCCTCACCTGTCTCACTGGATTCCTGAGCTGCTGTTGTTTATGAGGAGATCGTCAGGCCAATTAGCTGCTGCTAGGTTAACATCCACACCCTACAAACAGACTTAACTTTAAGCTTTTGGTGTGGAGTGGTAAAATCAAAACATGCACAATTACTATAATGACCAATAAACAATTTCATAATGTTTTGATACTTTATGGACAAAAACATGTATTTTCGGGCCAACACTGGACAGTTCTTTAACCAGCCTTTAAAAGCACTTACAAATGTATATATATATATATTTTTTTTTAAATTAAATGGGATTGCCTTGAATGACATTTTAGTACGTAAAAAGGAGCTACTTCAACAGCTTCCAACAAAGTACAGCACTTGCATATAAAATATGAAAGAAAATTTTTGCTTCTTAAGGTGAAAACAACAAGGTGGTTTGTACAACCCCTTATGCACCAGCCTTGCCAGAGCTCTCGCTAGTTGCGCAGTCATATGACAGGAAGAGAAACCCATGGGAAATTGCTGATGCTGTTAATTGATGGTAAGCCAGTGTTTTAAACAGCTGGTTAAAAAGCTTTACCCAAGATGTGACACACACACACACACACACCTCTTCTGTACTTGCTAAATTAGTATTTGGGCACGAGCACTGAGAGTGTACCCTTAAGGGGACTACTGCCTGAAAGGGAAGAGCAGGCCTTAATTGTGTTTTAATAACTCAGTAGAAAAGTTGCTGTTACTCAGACCAAATAATCATCCACCTCTCTAAATGGGACCAGTTTCTGTGAGTTAAATTATTCGTCTGTCTGTGACCTGGAACAATTTAATTGGACCAAGAATTAACTTAAAAAAATCACTTGCTGCATACAAGACCTCTTTAAATGTGCTTGATAGCTAAAGTGTTTCTTTTCTCTGTGTGTAATTTTGTTCACAGAGCTTCTTCAGAATGGACTCCTCCTTGAATGCAGCTCAAATTCGCCAGAAGTTCATTGACTTTTTCTGTCGCTATGAGCACCCGTACGTTCACTCTTCATCCACCATCCCCCTGGATGACCCCACGCTGCTTTTTGCCAATGCTGGCATGAACCAGGTACACACAATGTCTTTCCAAACACTGCTTCCTACACCATGGCTCTTCTTTATGTTCCCACTGATTCACAACTTTTAGAATAAGCTCGGAAATCAGATCTAGCAAACATTTTTTTTTCTCAAGATTTTTCTTTTTTTTGCACCTCATTTTCTTTAGTTCAAGCCGATCTTCCTCAACACTATTGATCCATCACATCCCATGGCCAGGCTGCGTCGTGCTGCCAACACCCAGAAGTGTATTCGTGCAGGAGGCAAACACAATGATCTGGACGATGTGGGTAAAGATGTCTACCACCACACCTTCTTTGAGATGCTGGGCTCCTGGTCCTTTGGGGACTACTTTAAGGTATTACATTTTCTCATCCTTCACACCAGTTTCACTTTTTTGTTACTTGTATTTTTAGTCCCACAGATTTAAATCCTGTTTGTTGAACAGTGCTCGAGTACACACACACACACATTGCTGTAGGACCTTTCACCATTTATAATTTTTTCCTCTGCAAACATTTTGTTTGCCAAGTACTTTGTGATAAATGTATAACTAGGCAATATAATCTGCTCCCTCTCGAGTGACTCTACCAACTTCTTTGCCTTGGACAGCAGCTAGCAGTAGCTGTTCAGCTCTGTAGCATTGGTGAGCTCATTGTAAAGGCACAGGAAAAAGGCACTTTCAAAATAAGAGTGAGGGATCATCCACTAGTAAAAACATGCATAGTGTCATTATCTTAGGTAAGTAGAGAAAAGGAGATAATTCTAATACAAAAATGCTTGAACATATGAGCCTGGGGCTCATCTAATTCTTTTTATATTTTCGGTTGAAGTGGTTAAAGTTGATCTATGTGAGAATCTTGCTGTTCTCTCCTTTTTGTCAATGTTGCTTGTTATATTACAATGACATATTCATTATCATTATTAATGGATAAGACATTGTGTAAACAGCTCTAAATTGTTATTGCATCATTTTTGCTCTCCAGGAATTGGCCTGTAAGATGGCCTTGGAGCTGCTGACTCAGGAGTTTGGTATTGCTTTAGAGCGCCTGTATGTCACCTACTTTGGAGGTAATGAGGATGCAGGCCTGGAGCCCGACCTGGAGTGCAAACAGATCTGGATGGACTTGGGGTGAGTGAGCCTTGGGAGCATTGACTGTATGTAAAAATAGATAAAGCTTGTGATGCAAAAAGTGAAACGAGTTTGCAGGTTTAAGGCACTTCCAATCTTTTTAATGGCAAGAAAGAGGCAGTGACATTTCTGTACGATCAAAATGAGCTATAATCTGCTATACATATATGTGTGTGTGTGTGTGTGTGTATGTATATATGGCACTTAGAGAACATTGTTATAATCCAACACTAACAGCAGAATTAACATTTAACACTTAAAAACATCCTGATCGAGAGCATGTTAGCATAAGTAGCATAGGTTACCATGGTGACCTGGTGAGGTTATCGAGAGCCACATTTATTAAGAACATTAATCCTGATTTGTATCACACACACACACACACACATATATATACACATACATACACACACCCAGCTGGAAACACTTCACACAAGTCCTGCTGCCCGAGATTCACAGAAAATGTTAAATTTTTGTGATTTATATCGTTATCAGGATGATAGATGTCTTATATCGGGATATGAGATTTTGGTCATATCGCACAGCCCTAATAACCTTAAAATAAAAAATTAAAAAAACAGTAGTTCAAAAGTATTCATTACAATCCTGGTGATCTCCCTTTGGTCAAATTGCAAAACCTCATCAGAGGACAGAATTTTGTCTGCAGGAAAACCATTTTTGCATGATGTGAATGTTAAATTAATGATGAAAGGACAGCAACAGACAAAAATGTTTTGCTTGTCGAAGATTGATTTGTCTTTCTCATCTTAAGGGAGTTGATTCAACTTCTGCCTCTCTCTGTTTCTTTGTTTGGTTTAGCGTGGATGAGGCTCGCATCCTGCCGGGCAGTATGAAGGATAACTTCTGGGAGATGGGAGACACCGGCCCCTGTGGCCCTTGCAGTGAGATCCACTACGACCGCATAGGAGGGCGAGACGCTTCTCACTTGGTGAACATGGATGATCCCGACGTGTTGGAGATCTGGAACCTTGTGTTTATCCAGTTCAACAGGTAACACACACACACACACACACAGAGTGAAAAATGAACTTACTAAGAGGACTTTATAAATCGATGATTGCATCCATGAAGCAAAATAATTTATTGAAGGAATAATGCTTTTGCATTAAATTCACACATTTTTTTCACACAATCACATGCTGTGTTAAAAGAATAAGTAATTTATTCTCATGCCTTATGAGGCAGTGTAAAATCTTCTTGGTTCACTGCATTCGTTTACACCTTGTGGTGTTTTGAAAATGACTTCCAGGATTAGTCCTGTCAAGGCTGCTGGGCTACACGAATCCATAGTGTTGCTTTGTCCTCAGTTCCAGCAGGGCTCGGGTTTGCTTTCACATCCATTGTTGTGCTCGTTTGGTGTGAGCTAAAGAAAAAAATGATATGTTGTTAAGTTCTTTTTCTAGTCTGTGTTCACAAAACTTAAGCACCCAGCCTTTTGAACTTGCACTCAACATCGATCCAGTAGTGAAATTGGGGGGGGGGTTTTTAGAAATACTGATAACAGGTATAAGCAGAATGAAATGCACTGGAGGAACTGCTGGAATACAGGGACCTGTAAAAGCTCAGTGCACCTTATATTAACTTACTATATTTCCATGTTCTGAACAAACAGGGAAAGACTGTATTCACATGTACATGTGGTGTGTAGGCATTTTCATTCTGTAATTAAAAAACAAAACAATGCTTTTCTGATGTTTTGTAGTATTTCCCACCATATTTGAACCAAACCACAGTGAAAAGTTATCACTGACAGCAATTATCAACACAACAGTTT